CGACACACCCCTGTCGAGCTCAGCAAGCCGTATTGCGGACGAATCACAAAGGAGCCATGGCATTCGGACTTTGGCGGTGTGTTTTAACTCCCTCCAAAAGTCGGAATTGCCAAAGGGCTGCCTGGAGCAAGCGAAAACCCCGACGCCAGTGATTATTCCCGTTGCGGCCGCTTCGGGCAGTCAATCGAAATTGTCATTTCGTCGCCGTCAATTACAACGGTACCGCGCAGGACCAAACGACGAGAGTTGCGCCGCTCCCCCGACGGATCTTAGGTATTGAGGCAAACGGCGATGAATGCAATTCCGACCATGGCGTGATTGCTTCGATGGCAACGCAATAGCGGAAACGAGTGCGAACGATGGCGGACGGCAGAAGCAGCGAGAAAAGGCGGCGCAGTCGTGAGTCCTGAGCGATTACGACGATACGACACGAGTCCTACAGCGTGTGCACCCGCGGGATGAATCTAGCGGAGTGCGCGGCCTCGCGAGCAGATGCGAGTGGCCGAGGGGGAGGGGTGTGTGGCAGAAATCTAGCCCAGCAGCTGGCAGGCTGGCAGGCTTCAATCAATCAGTCATCACTTTTCAGGACGGACGAATCCCGCCCGAATGGAGTCGGCGAGCCCAAGAAGGGGAAATTTTCGAGGGAGAGACCACCCAACGGAGCCCGTTCGACCTCCTCTCGGGGCCCGTGTTGCCTGCGCTCGGGCCGCCGTACACCACGTGTCGGCTCTCTGGCACACCCCCAAATCTCCATCTCCAGCCCCCATCAACCGCCCCCTGCGACCATCATCCTAGCTGACATAAGGCGCAGCAGAAGCTGTGCAATAGATCTCGCTGAGATTGGAGATTGGAGATTAGGGACTGCTGGAGATGGACAATGGCACGAGGTTCGCTTGGCTTTCTTATTGCGCGACCCAGGGTCCCGGTCTGGCATCTTACTGTGCCTGGTCGTGGCCCGACGAGATTGGAACTGCCAACCCCTCGTTGCTCAGCTCACCGATCCTTCAATGCTGACACCAAACGCCAGGCGGACCAAGGCTTGTGTGTGATGAGCCGTTGTTTAATCTTACTGGCAGTTCAACCCGACAAGCAGGGCTGAGAAGGAGGGCACGATTGCCGTTGGATAAACCGTCCAACCTTGAGAGCGCAGCGACACAAAAAAACGAGTCCGACTTCGCTCCCGCGCAAACGGCACAAAATCGATTGAGCCGACCGACGATAGATAACGAAGAGGGGAAAGCAGGACGGATGGAAAATTTGACGATCCAGTGACATTTTCCCGCCCGCCATTCGGCCTTCGCATCCGATGCGACGCAATCAGACACCCCCCGCCTTTCCGTTCGCCAGTCTCGGCAAGCCTAAAAGTGTTGGTTCAGTTGCTCGGCGGGAAGCACTTTAGCAGACGGCCAGCGACAGGCGACGCTTATTTGTTTCACCTGAGTAGAGCTGGCCCTTCCCGATCGAGTATCCTTTGCCCGCGAGAGAGATTGTCCCGTCATGACTGACACTTTGCTGCTCGCACGCAATCAACCGAGTCAATCAGGTCTCGGAAGACAAGTTTCCCTGGCGTGCCCAGCTTGCCAGCGTCCAGGCTAGGCCTCTGCGCTATCCCACGCTTTCGATTCATGCCCCGTTCCACGATACCTCCCAAACGCACTTGTTGACCGCCAACCGCTTCACCGTCCACCAGCCCGCCGTTTAAAATTTTTGCTCCTGCCCTACCGTGGAGCTTCTGGGCTGCGGTTGAGAGAGGGCCTCAACACTGAACCGGGCAACGTAGGGCGGTGAAAGGGGGGTCCCTTGCCTGTGCCTGAGCCTAACAAGCATTGAAATGCGAAATTGGGCCAGCGCGTTGCCAGCACGCCAGCAGCCAAATTTCGCTGCAAAGTGCGTGCAGGTGACACGTTCACCCCGGATGAGACACTGGGCGTGGGGTTGACCCTATCTGCCTTGACCTAGGACGATCATCTGAGGCGGGATTGTGCAAGGCACAAGGCGGGTACGCCATTTCGATCGCAATAGGAAACACTGATTACCTGCTGTGCGCGCTGCTCCCTCACGATAAGTCGAATGCTAGCTACAATGACTATTCTGCTAGAGTCCTACAACGGGTCACGATGGCAGTTGCAGTGGTCCGCTAGGACTATCGAGCGATCTTGGCCTCGACGATCTGCTGATAAGGGCACGGCTTGGCTTCCGAAGAATAATGCTGCATCCTTCTGTGGTCTACGGGAGCCTTCCAACAGGCCGACCGACCGCCGCACCGCCCGCAGGCGGCAGCGCTGCAGCAGCCGACCCCGCTGAAGTTCCCTCCGATCCGCTCGCCGCAACAAACTCCATCAGCAGGTTCGCACACACCCCCTTCTCCGCCCCTCCGCCGGGGTGTCTTGCGGCGAACTGACGAGATGCGGAAAGAATGTGAGTCTTTCGGCACCGGCGGGGCGGTGGGCTTCTTTCCATCCAGGCACGACGCACCTCTGCGGGGGTGGACTTGTTTTTTCTTCTCTGCGAAGAACCATGTCCAGCTGTGGGACGGACGCAAGGGCTGGGCGATGATTTCCATCGACCATCGTCGAAAAGGTGCAAGAGAAGCGAGGCAGATAAGATGGAGCACGTCGTTCCAAGGCCGGGCTCTCCACCTCTTTGAGTCATCACGACGAGAGAGGAATCGCGGCGTGCACAGTCACTCACACACAAATGTTACCTTCTCGCGTCCCACTCTTGATCCTCTGATGCGCGCATCTTCTGCTGCACACCCCGCTTGAGCTTGGCGTTGGAGTTAATCTCACTAAGTCCAGACCTTTAGCCCCGCCGGCAAGATTCCATGGGGTGTGAGTCTATCAGGAAAGATCTGGTGGGATTGATAATTGTGCTGCTGCTTGGGTAAGCCGAAGCCGAGCACAAGCCGATTATTCATCCAGGTACCAGCGCGCAAGTGACGCGGACTCCACACTTTTCCGCGCGTTGGGTGCAGAGGTGCGGCCGCGGCTGTTTGTCTGGCGGCTGGCCCTGTCGGCCTGGGACGTGCTCTTTCTACCCTCGGCCGAACCAACGCCCAGTGCCCACTGCCTAGGGACGAGTTCGATGCCGAGTGACCGAGGAGGGGTTCGACTACGGAGCCAGTGGGCTGGGATGGTTCACCGAGGTGAAGAACCCCCTTCAGACGAAACTTGAGACGGGTGCAACGGTTTGCGATGGCTTGGGGTTCTGATGTCAGAGAGATTAAGAGTCATGATGATGCTATTTTTTCAAAATAAGAATATCTGAAGCAAAACAAAATGAGAAAGCTCCTTATTGGGCCGTACGTGCCCTCGTGAGATGCCGTTCTCACCTCAGCCCACTATGCACCGCCATTGTTGTCTATCCGGGTGTTCCAGACCAACGGTTCCTTCAATCCATCACCAACTCCGAGTAAACAAGAGTTGGCCCGTCCGCGAGAACATGGTTGTGGCTGAACTGCAGCGGGTGCCTGGTGAACCGGTCTTGGGGGACATACTCGGGATTAAGAACAGCTGTCATCCAATGGCAGATGCACCCTCCGGAACCCGATGGTGAGGGAGGGGGGTGTGTGAGGTGCGTGACGTTGACGATCTGTGTGCTTCGGATTTAGAGGGGTGATCTGGTGATGCTGGACGAGGCTTCGCTCTCGCGGTGGTGGTGTTTGCCCGCGTATTCGACAGCGTGGGGGTGGTGGTGGTGTAAGACCACGCGGACTGTGAGTGTGAGGGCCGCGGCGCGGAGCGGGATTCGTGTGTCACCCCGACGCCGACGAACACTTTTGCTGTCAGTGTCATTGACTTTATTAGGCATAGGATGATCACCCTTTGCGCACAGGCCTGCCGGCCTCCCGGGACGTTCACAGCTCGGGGACATGCCAAAGTCCGGATCTCTCGCTGCGAAGGGGGGAGAGTCCCCACTGTTTAGACGTAATTCGAGTGCCAACAGGTCCCTTGCTTTAGCGTCGTCGCTCTTTGTGTGGCTGACGCCAATACCGAAGCCGCGGGGCCCGGTAGTTTGGACCCTTGGAGAATGGATGAAGTCATTTGCGAGGTGATCTGCGGATGAGATTGGTTCGGACGACGTGTTTGGACAAGGTGTCCGTCTAGGAGGCGATGCTGTCATGGAAGGGTGATCGGCGGGATGGGATGATGGGCCGGGGGTTGTTGACGTTGAGATTTTGGGTTTGGATCGATGAGAACGGTCTGTGGAGTTGGGTGCCGTCCATCAGGGTTGTGGTGCCGGATGGTTGGGTTCAACGTCTGTCCGTAGAGGTTGTGCTTGATTAGGCTCGGCTCATCAGCTGTTCTCGCGAACACTGTTCAAGCCTCGGATCGGGTGTGGGCACCGAGTGCCGGAGGAGCGGAGCAGGCACTGGACGGGTTGCATTCCGGGCCAGAATCCGTGCCGGTCGGTGAGGCTCTCCAAAGCCATTGGATTCAAAGCCAAAGATATATACGTACGGCGGCTCTAGCTAGACCTTTCTCATTCTTCCTCTACACAATTCGCAACTATCTCTTCACACTTCGCAAGTAGATCTTGTGCTGAAACAATCCGGGAATGAATCTCGCCAAAAGTTCTGCTTTGCGCCTCTATCATGTGGTTGATCAGAGTTCTGCCTGTTGTCGACGTCCCCACCGCCAAGTAAATCCCCGCAAGAACACTTTGCCTTGCTATCAAATCTTCGTCTTCTCCGTCGTCTTCACGGACTCCTCGCCTCTTAGCAATTACTTTCTCGGTTGCTTCGAGCTCCTGACCGAACTTGATTGCACTTACCATCTGACCCTTCATTGCGTAGGCTATCGCCAAAAAGGCGTTTATTTTGAGATGGATTCGTTGATGGAATGTCTGACATATCAAGCTCGGCCTACCCTCCATTTCTTCTGCAACAGCTGTAAGAGTCCGAATGGCGTCGTCACACTGATTGTTGCGCATGTACGCAGTCCCAAGCGCCAGCCGAAATTCTAGGGGCTGCAGTTGCGGAAAGTCTTGGCATGATACCGTCAGGTCTTCTCCCGGTGTGGATTCTAATAGGTCTATTGCCCTACTGGGCTGACCTACGGCTTCGTAGGCTAATGCAAGCTGTTGTTTCACGCTCAAGACTAGTAGTTCGTCGTCATGCTCCATCTCATCGTGCAGTACAAGAACCTGTTCCTGCATGTCGATGCATTCATTGAGTTTTCCGATGCGGAGAAGTTCCTGACCCAGATAGGCTTTTGCTTCTAATACCCAAGTGTGCTCATGAACGTCGAAGAATTTCAGCTTTGCCACCAATATATCTGTCCGGTCAGAAGCTTCGCTCTTTTGACCCGCCGAGAGGTATACTGAGACAAGATCCAGCTCTGCTTTGATCTCACTTGCTGCATCAGTCCAACGTGAACGTTTTGTCTGTTCAAGGACAAGCTCTGCGATTTCGACTGCTCGTTTTCTCTGCCTGAGCCCCATCTCAGAGAGAGATTTGAACAGAAGGATCCGTGTGGATATAATGAACGCTTCGTCTTTATCCCACCTCCTTTCACATAATTCGAGTACGCGTTCGGTTATTTGCGCAGACTCGTGGTATCTGCGGTCACTATATAGGAAATAGTTGGCATAATAGCCCACCTCCCATACTTTCTCAGTCAGATCAATCTCGGCCGTTTCTATTGACATAAGAAGTCTGCAAGCATGCGGGAGGTACGCCCACCATTCTTCGACAATTTCCTGCGGTGATTCTGGTAGCAATTGAGCCAGACGAATTACAGCAGCTTCGGTGGCGGCTTTGGAACCCTTCATTTCTCTGAGCCAAACTCCTGCGGCCAAGTGAACAAGGCTGTGCATATCGAACGTCTGTTCCATATCGCCTCGGTCACGGATGAAGGCGTAGCTCAAAAGCGTTCCAACAGCCTGATCCAACTCAATCTCATTTGTGAAATTGGGAAGCATCGTTCGTGGTATCCCTTTTGGCTCAATCTGAGAGCAAAATGATAGTAAAGTGGCGGCTTGCGGGTGATGTGTATTGATTTGTTCGAATGATATTGCCCATGTGGTCAAGACGGAAGCCGTCGCTCTTCCAGTTGCCATCCGCTGCTGAAGAAGCTTGATAAAATCTTCGTCGGTACCAGCCATAAGATTGACGTAGTCGCTCATGCACTTCCTGTTTCTTTTCATATAAGCTGCAGCATGGGCGATAGCAAGCGGCAAGCAAGTAAGCTTCTCCAGAAGAATGTCAACCATTTTGTCCGGCTCTGACCATCTGTTTTTGCCAATGAGCTTGACCAAGAGGCTCTTTGCGTCGTCTTCGTTCATGGCCTCCACATCGATCACATTCCCTTGCGAGACGCACTGGGCCACATCCCATGACCGTGTTGTGAACAGCGTGAGACAACCATCGTCTCGTGGAAGTACGCTATTTCCATCGCTATCGTGAAGCATATCCTTGAGCATGGTTTCGTCATCAGCGTTGTCGATGATGAGAACCCAAGGGCTAGCGATTCCGGAGGACAGATATCGTTGCAGCGCCATCTTCACCATAAGACCCTCAGAACAGTCAAGACCAACTTTGTGAGCAATATCTCCGTAGGATTTGTCAATGCTACCGCTGCTCAAAGCTGACATCCAGAATATGGAGTGATCTGGCATGGTGTCTTTGACCCAGTGGGAGAAGCTGAGCGCGATCTCGCTCTTGCCCGCGCCGCCCAAGCCGCAGAGAGCGACTGATTCGCACTCTTTGTACCGCAGCATTGTTTGAAGTTTCTGCATGATATCCAAACGGCCGACAAAGTTCAAATTCTTCCCATTAGGAATGTGATGCGATGCTGCTCAGCTTTGTTAGCACGCCATAGCTTCTGTCACATCGCCCGTTGGAGCGGCCAACTCACGCTTGGATTTGCCTTGATACTCATGTTTCCTTTTCGAGGGTCGCGACAGACAGGTATGGTCAAGGTGATCAGGACAAGAAACTGTGACGTTGATTAAACTCTATGTCTGATAAGATTGATGTCTGTCCTAGCTCTTACCAGATGTCAAGGTCCCAACGTCCCCGAAAGTATTCCCCGAGTTATTCCCTGTGTTCATTATACCACCAGACATGTTATACTGTGTGCCTGAGGCGTGGTCACGATTTGTTTGCTGCGCGTAGATCGTTCCCATCTCCATCTCGGAATCATCCAGGGATGGCTCAACTTTTGAAAGTGAGTTGATGGCCTCTTTGATCTCGTCAAGGTCATCGTTGAGACTGAAGACTTGGCTCATGGCCAGGATCCGCATGCGGTCCAAAATCTCCTTCATCAGGCCCTCCACACGATCAGCCTGCATGCCACGCATAGCTTCACGGTACCAGGCCCGGGCCCTCTTCCAAGTCTTGTCGGCGTCTCGATCCTTGCATTTTTCTTCGAGTGTGGCGAAGATCTTCTGGAGCAGCTCGACTTTGTCGTGGCAGGTGTTGATGGCCTCGCGGATAGAGTCGCTGTTCTCGTCGACACTGGGATCTATCCGTTGGATTCTTTCATAGACACGTTGAAGGACACCCCGGACCAAAGGGAGATTTTTGTTCACCTCGTCGAAAGCCTTCGGAAGGTTCTGGATCTTCTTGATGGTCTCGTAGGCGCTGGCAGCCGCTCCAATGATGCCAATGGTTGAGCTGATTACACTGAGAGGATCCATCTTGGAAGCCGAGGTTCAAAGATGGGAAAGGCTGCTGTGACGTGAAGCGTCTGAAATTCATGGGAAGAAGACGAGGAGTTGCTCCTTGGTGTTAGGAACTCAGCTTGTTCGAAGGTGCTTTCAGCTGAGTTTATACCCTGGTCCCAACCGCCGAGGCCAGGGAGCGTGCCGGGGATCAATTGGCTGCTGCGCTCGTCTTCTGCATGCCCAGCCTCACCAACAGCGTCTCGTGCGGCGCAGCAACACCAAATGCAACTCGGTCTCTGGTGGGCATACAACACAAGATTAGTGTCTGCGTATTAGCTCTCTGCAAGTTGAGGACATAGTGAAGTCGGCTAGATCTGATAGCATTATCGCTATCGGAGAACGTCCATTAAGGCCGGGTCTAAACTTCAGACAAGTTACGTCAGGTTCCTAAACGAAGCTTACTTACAGTCGATGTCATGTGAGATTCATTATTGTCAGTAAGTCCGTCTGTCTGAAGCTATGACGAAGGTTCCAGGAGCCGCCTCATCTCCTCACGCCTTCCGCCGTCTGCAAAAAGTCTCGAATATCGTCATCTTCTGGCAGCTAGCTCTCTGCCGCCGCAAAAATACTATCCAGCTGGTCAGCTCAGGTCTACGTGCCCATTGCTGAAAAGAGAACGATGCCTGCCAAGACCAGCCTTGCCTTCTCACCACCCATGAAAGTAATTCTTGCACGTGAGTAGTCTGCGGATGACCTTCACCAAGCGTCCTCCCCCGTACCTCTTCGACGCGCAGGTCGCATCTAGACATAGCTTTGCCTATGAAATTGGCACGAGTCATATGTGGCGCGACGCGGGATGACCCCCGGCTGCCTCCTTGGCGGTTGTCAGGTCCTCGAGAGTTGAACATCATTATAAGCTAGTTGTCTACAGTCTAAAGGTATCTCATGAAGGTATATTTACCGCTTCGGCCATTTCCTCCCTGTTACGGTCACTTTTCATCATTTATGCGTTCCCGACCCATCCAGCTCGTACATCACCCTAGGATTGGCATCCAACTCCGGAGGGTGCATCATCTTAGGCACGTCAGGGGGAGGCGTCCGTCCACTCTCCAACTCCGAGGCCGCAATCGTCGCCGACGGCGGCACGGGAGAGTATCCGTGCTGAGGGGCGTAGGGCTGCGCCTCCGCAACGGCGGGCTGGTTCGCGCTCTGGGCCTGCCTCTTGCGCCTCTTCAGCAAGCAGAAGGCCGCCAGGCCGATCGCCGCGATTCCGGCCACACCTCCGACGACTCCGCCGGCAATCGCGCCGGCGTTCGAAGAGCTGGAGCCCGAGTCGTTGGAAGAGCCACTTCCGGAGCCGGAGCCAGATCCTGAACCGGAGTCGGAGCTGGATCCATTGAAGAGAGCCGCGACCTCGTCGCTCGTATAAGTCACGCTCGAGAGTTTGCTTCGTCCATATTAGCTACGCCATCTCTCAACTTCGGCGCAATCAAAACTTACCCCTCGTCATACCAAGCCTGCACGGTGTCCGGCGTCTGGTACGCGGCAGCGCTGGGGTTGTAGTTGTCGGTCCACTTCAGCTCCGTCATGTCGAAGATGCCAATGCCCTGCGGGAACGGGTCCTTGTTCGCAAAGAACTTTACGGACTGCCCAACGCTGCGGTTGATGCCGCCGACGGTGATCATCTGGCGCTGCCCGCCAACCGCGCAGCCCATGGCGTCGCGGGGGCTCGTGGACGTGTAGTCGGCCTTTGTCCAGAAGAAGCCGGGCAGACTCAGAATCCAGACCTCGTCGAAGGTGTTGCTTCCGCTGCTGCCTCCGAAGATGAAGCTGCGCGCTTGGTCAGTATTTACTTGATATCTCGTTTCCTTAGCGACCTACATCTCATATGTGTTGTTCTGTCCCTGTGCTCCCACTGCGCAGTGCCATTGCCGCGGCGCGGGCGGCGTTCCAGACGTCTTTTGGGTGTACCACTTCTTCGTCACGGGGTCCATAAAGTAGAGCGTGTCAAAGGCTTGAAGCGCAACATCGTCTGAGGCCACACCCTCTCCAACGGTGTACGTGCCACCGCTGAAGAGCATGACAAGCCCGTTGTCGCCAAAGGTCGGGATGTACTGCGCGGCACCGCCAGCCATGGTGCCGTATGGCGAGTACGGGGCGTCGGTGTGGTTCGTCCACGCCTGCGTCTGGTTTGCGTAGTTGAACTCCAGGAACCCCGGCACGGGGCCGGCGGGCGTAGGGTCGGACGTCGCCTGGGAGTAGCCTCCAAAGTAGAACCCCGACTCGGGCGTGCTCACGAAGACGCCGCCCTGGGAGCGCTCGAAGTCGAGGAAGGTGCTGTGGCCGGGCTTGATTTCGGTGTTCCAGGAGCCGCCGCCCTGGTTATCGGGGTTGAACCTCCACAGCTGGGCGCTAGGGAGCGGGTTGCTGTACGAGATGAAGCCGCCCCAGATGTAGAAGATGCCGCTGGAGTTGTCCTTCAAGATTGCCTGGCGCATCATCGTCGGCGCGTCGGTCTTCTTGGTCTCTATGAAGGTGACGTTTGAGGGCGTCCAATACGATGTGAGGTCAATTGACAGCGTGCTGTTCACTGTTGGCATTGTTTAGTAGGGCGGTCGACGAAACGGCCGGCGGGGCAGACGAACTTGGGTTCGAAGCACGGTATGTGAGGTTCTTCCCGTTCACCAGCTGTGAAACTTCGCCGCCGTCGATGTAGAGATAGTTGTCGACTACGGTTGCTGTTCGCCGTCAGCGGTCGCGACTCTCACCCCCAGTAGAGCGAGCAGGGACATACTCCTAGCAAAAGCCCTCCTCACAAAGTTGTCGACGGACGGGACGTCTGATACCTGCGCGGCGGTTTGCGCATAACATGTCGTAGCGAGCTGCCCAGCGGCGAGCAGCGCCGCCCATCGTGAAACCATGGCTAGAGAGAAACTCAGGCCACCTCGAGATATGGCGTTCTTTCGCGATAAAAGACCGCGGTCTTGGTAGTTGCGGGGGACCGAGTCAAGGTGACGGCAATCTTTTCGTCCAAACAATCGAGCTTCGAGACTAGAAACCACGCTGTTCCAATCCGTCCATCCGGCGATCACGAAGGATTCAAGAGCAGAGTTCGCGCCAGGGAGAGAGAAAAGGCGGGAGAAGGATGCGAGGGGGACAACCCTCACAGAAAAGTCACCAAAATGTAAGACGGATCGGCAAAACAGATGGCCAAGCTAGCTTCAATCTACGGATACTGGGGTTCCGCTCCATGTCGAACTGCATTGGAGCATCAGCTTCAGTCCCTGACGCCGACATTTCATATCGAATGGCATACCACGTAGGAAGTGCCAGGATGCCGATCCTTTACCGCGACTCTGTGGGTGCATCTTTGGTGTCTCGCGTGCCTGGCTAATGGGAGGTCGTCTCTCACTTGGGGGTCGCACCAAAGTCCCCCGGCTAGCGGGCACTTAGCACTCATAGCCACGGGGCGTCAGACGGCTAGCGCAATCCTGCGCCCACAGAGCGTGTAACCGTAATCATGGTGATTGGCGCTGCAACGGCCAGGGTTGCGGTATCCTGGGAAATTTGGGAGCCCACTGAAGCGCATGCGGTTGCATCGATCCCCTTCAGCCTTGCCCGGTGGTGTGGTTGCCGGCGGTTGTTTGGGGCTGTTGCGCGGGACAGACGGGAGTGGCTGCGCTGTCGGTGTGAGTGCATGAGACTACTCGTCACTTGCTGCGAGGAACAATCTTGCCAAGGCAATTTGGGGCACAGTCTGGCACCGTCTCACGGAGTTGCCAATTTGAGAGAATAACGTGTGTTGTTGGGTTTGGAGACGAACAATTGAGAGGTGATTCTCGTGATGCTCAGCTGTGGAGTTGCTTGGAGCTTCAAGTTGCAGTTGTGCTAGGCAGCAACTCAATGTTCAAGCACAGGCCACGTACGTACAGGGATAGCCCTGAATGGATTTCCAGTCCCTTATCCGCTGGCTCTCTATCCGAAAATTCAGCAGAGGCCGGGAAATAATCGGACTTACAGCGGTCGTCCGATTGCCCATTCCCGGCTTGCCCCGTGCGTCCCGGACGGCTGGCAGTGCGTCATTACAAACCAACCCTGGAACAATTTTCTTTCCAGCACCCGATAGCTATCGTGGGGTACGGGACTCGAACCCACGCGCCTCGGACTTCGATTCGACCGAGCAAACCTCTTTCCAAGCTCCGGAAGCTGCAAGAGTTCTGTACGAGTTCACACAAAGTTCCAAACAATGCACGGAATCCCTCGACTCGCCGCGCGCAAGCAGCTGTCCGCAGCCAGCTTCGTCTGCCGGAGCTGTCGCCAGCACCAGCAGCAGCAGCGACAACGCCGCCCGTACTCGAGCAACATCAGTCCACCGCCCCCGGCACCGCCTGCCGCCGGCTTCACGGCTCTCCCCTCGCGCCGCCTCATCTCCGTCGCCGGCCCGGACGCCGCCAAGTTCCTGCAGGGCGTCATCACGGCCAACATCGCCTCCAAGGAGGCCCGCGCGCGGGAGACGGGCTTCTACGCCGCATTCCTCAACGCCACCGGCCGCGTCCTGCACGACGTCTTCATCTACCCGGACACCGCCGGCCTGGGCGGCGGCGCCGCTGCCGGAGAGCAGCAGGCAGGCACGCGCTTCCTGATCGAGGCCGACGCGAACGAGGCCGAGAGGCTGGCGAAGCACATCAAGCGGTACAAGCTGCGCGCCAAGTTCAACGTGCGCCTGCTGGCGGTGGACGAGGCGACGGTGTGGCATGCGTGGGATGACAGCGGGAAGCCCGTCTCAACCGATGCGGCGACCTTGAGCACGCTGACGCGAGACCCAAGGACGCCCGTTTTGGGGTACCGGTTGGTGCGGGGCAGGGATGCGCCGCCGCAGCTGGATCTTGAGGCTACCACGGAGGATAGCTACACCATCAGGCGATACTTGCAGGGGGTCGCTGAGGGACAGGACGAGATCATCAGGGAGCACGCGCTGCCTCAGGAGACGAACATGGATTACATGAACGGCATCGACTATCACAAGGGCTGCT